TCACTGTATCAGTTATCAGTCATGGTCATTGTAATGCTATATTGTCACTGTATCAGTTATCAGTAATGTTCATTGTAATGCTATATTGTCACTATCAGTTATCAGTAATGTCATTGAATGCTATATTGTCATATCAGTTATCAGTAATGGTCATTGTAATGCTATATTGTCACTGTATCAGTTATCAGTCATGGTCAGTGCAATGATATATTGTCACTGTATCAGTTATCAGTCATGGTCATTGTAATGCTATATTATCACTGTATCAGTTATCAGTAATGGTCATTGTAATGCTATATTATCACTGTATCAGTTATCAGTAATGTTCATTGTAATGCTGTATTGTCACTGTATCAGTTATCAGTAATGGTCAGTGCAATGCTATATTGTCACTGTATCAGTTATCAGTAATGGTCATTGTAATGCTATATTGTCACTATCAGTTATCAGTAATGGTCATTGTAATGCTATATTGTCACTGTATCAGTTATCAGTCATGGTCAGTGCAATGATATATTGTCACTGTATCAGTTATCAGTAATGGTCATTGTAATGTTATATTGTCACTGTATCAGTTATCAGTAATGGTCATTGTAATGCTATATTGTCACTGTATCAGTTATCAGTAATGGTCATTGTAATGCTATATTATCACTATCAGTTATCAGTAATGGTCAGTGCAATGATATATTGTCACTGTATCAGTTATCAGTAATGGTCAGTGCAATGCTATATTGTCACTGTATCAGTTATCAGTAATGGTCATTGTAATGCTATATTATCACTATCAGTTATCAGTAATGGTCAGTGCAATGATATATTGTCACTGTATCAGTTATCAGTAATGGTCAGTGCAATGCTATATTGTCACTGTATCAGTTATCAGTCATGGTCATTGTAATGCTATATTATCACTGTATCAGTTATCAGTCATGGTCATTGTAATGCTATATTGTCACTGTATCAGTTATCAGTAATGGTCATTGTAATGCTATATTATCA